GCGGGGGGCGCTGCGCGGGCGCGGGGGCAGCGGCGGGGCCGCGGGGACTCTGCCCGCGGGCGGCCCGGCGGCGAGGGGGGACACTCTGCTCGCCCATGGGGTTTTTTAGGTTCCTTTTCACGGTCAACCGGAGGGACAAAGTGTCTTCTTCCCCTCCTCTCCTCTTCCCACGCCACCCTCCCGCCGCCCCCGGCCCGCGCCTGTGGGCGGTTCTTCCTCCGCCGTCCGATGTCACTGTCCCTCCGTTGGGTCCTGGGTCTCTCCGTTGCCCCCGCCACCGGTGCCCCGCCGGGTTCGGGCCTGACCCGGCGGCAGCCGCCGCCTCCGCACCGCGGATCCGGACCCTGCAGGGCCCGCGCCTCTCACGGCCGGCGGCCTGTATTTATTATTAATTAATTAATTATTATTAATTATTATTATTACACGGTCCACGCAGTTTTTAGGCATCTCCGTTAGGGTTTTCTAATTTTATTTTAAAAGGCACAAACTATAGCTCTTAGTTGAATGTCGCCAGGTATGCTTTCTCTTTTTCCGTGTCTTTCTACAACTGTGTTCTGTGACTCAACTGTATAGTGTTAATATCAGTACAGACTTGTCTAGTTGACCGTATAATAATGTTTTCCCTTCTCGTAGTCTCTATGGCGTGTCTTTATGGAGAAATAAGGTTCTCACGGGTTCGGTTACCTTCGCGTTTAGAGACACCAGGTTCAGGCAATTATATATATTTTTGTTATCGGTTGCATGTCGTCTCATTTTTTCTTTTCCCTACCTGTTGGGATATGTTTGTGAGCATAATCGTCATAAATTATGTTCAGGGTTTTCAGATTTATTTATATGTGGTTCAAATGAATGCTTCTATTTAAAAGGGGAAATATTTCTACATGTGCATATAGTTTTCCAAGAGTGTACCATTAATTGATTGTTGATAATAAAAACCAAAAGGAAACGTAGCTACGGTGCTCTTCCAACTTCTTGTTAGGGCTTTATTTGGAGGGAGGTCTTGGGGTTATTTCTGACAGAGATCAAAGGCGCACATCGCAGAACCTCGACTGAGTCATCAAAAGGAGATGTGCTCAGCAGCGTCAATCTCCCGTTACCATCAGGAAGACCGCAATTGAGGGTCTCATCATTACTGGCTAATTGTGCCCTTGTTAATTATTTGCAAACAGACTGATTAGGGAGAGGAACGTGCGTCAGATCTGACCTTTCATCACTACCTCGAAAATTGGAGATGGTCAATATTAAGCGATATCCGCTAAAAGGAAAACAAAAGTGGCACAAACCACAGGCCCGGTTTGCCATTGGGTGCAGCATCCCACCGGCCGGTGGAGAACCTTCGCCAGCCCTTACACATACAAGTGGAAGGTCAAATCGGCTTCGCAGCTCTGCAGCTTTCCGCAAACGCTTCTGCTGCAGAATGCGGGCGCAGAGGGCAGAGAGAGGGGCCGCCCGCGGGGACTGCGCGGCTGCGGGCTTGGCTCCCATTCGGACCAGGAGTGGGCCAGCGGCCTCACATCCAGGGACCCGTGCTGCTTGCAGGGCCCGTCAGCGGGAGGCGGGCCCGGCCTGGCCCTGTCCTGCCCCGGGGCAGCGGGCGGCGGGACCGACGTGCCGGGCCCCCGCGGGGCACCGAGTAGCTGAGCACACCCGTCTTGCCAAGCCGAGCCGGCACCCCGCTTCCCTCGAAACCCCTCAGGGGCGGGCCCCCTCCCCCGAGAAGAGCCGGAGTCGCCGCGCGTCCCGGTGTCGCCTCCCGGAGCTGTCCCTGCAGCCGGGCACTCGCGGGTTAGCTGCAGGGACGCCGGGGCAATGAACTCTGCCTGACTCTGACACAGATTAAAAAAAAAAAAAAAAAAGGAAAAAAAAGTCTGTGGGTTTGGCAGGGAAGTAAACTTGGCAAAGGCGTTGTCATCTACAATGTGCAACATCTGCATGGCTGGAGGGCTGGGGAGAGCACCATTTAAAATGTGGCAAATGGGAAAAGTGCTGTTTCGCTAATAAAATACTTCAATTATCAGTTTTAAAATTCTCTAATAAAATATGTAGTGTATTTTCTGGAGAAAAAAAATCTGAATGCATTTCTTGAATATATGTTTTGTTATAATGTGGGCAGATTTTGCCATTTTATTTTTTTTCTTCCAAAAGTCATTCCATGACCTAAGAACATCTTTGTTAAAAGTAAATGGACTGTGTCTAGGAATTACGCAGTTGTAGACCATGGCTGAAGTGATCTCTGAGCTTTTATAGAAGGTGAGACCTGTATTACCAGTAAAGCAAGCAAGCAAGCAAGCAACCAAAGGTAATTTAAAGATATCTCTCCTGGTCAGGCCTTGCTGTATGAAGATGATCAGCTTTCATTTTATGATGTGCAGTTTTGGTTTGAAAACATTAAGAGATGACAACACACTATTTCTTTGGGTATTTTTTGCCAAGTTCACTATTTTGTCTGCTAAAACTTGGGCATTATTTCTAACATGAAGGCTTCAGTTTCCAACAGTGGATATAGCTGCATGTCAGCTAGGCCTTTTCTCTCTTTTAATTTTACTACACTGTAAACTGATTTGCATTTTGATCTATTTTCTTCTCGCTAAACTAAATAGGCTGTGTCATTTACATCTCCCACACTCCCTAAGGCTCAAACTTCTGGAATTTTTCCAGAGCCGGAACCACACTCTCCTGTTTCTGAAGATGCCTTGCAGAAGGGATACCAGGATAGTACCAAGAACTGCTGTGTCTCTCTCAATAATGGTTCATACAGAGCTAAGATCACCTCTCTCTTTCTGATCACAATTTTCCACTTAGGTGTCTAGACTTCTCATTAGTTCTTTTTGGTAACTTATGCTTTGTCACTGACCCATAAATCCTTTCCTGAGCCACTGCTTTCCATGTTCTGCTCACCCACACAGTAAAGGGAACCATTGCAGGCCTGAGATATGTGGCATACACCATTTGTAAGGACCAGTGTGCCCATGGCAGACCAGTTGGAATGGTTAATTCATCAAACTTCGTAATTGTTCAGTCAGGAAGAAATGGATCATTTGAAAATATGTGAAGTTTACTTCTGCTCCCTGCAAAGGTAGGAGTTTGAAAAGGAGTATTAGTTAAATAAATAACCTATAGGATTGCTGCTGACCTTTACAAGCACAAAAGCTAGACGAGGCCCATGGAGTACTCAGCAGGAGTCCAGACATGAAGAGGATGCCAAAAAGCTGCTCTCCAGTGGTACTAGTGAAAGTCAAATGGGCAAGGTAATCCATAACATCAAGAGGTGCTTTGGGGCTCACAAGGTGAGGAGGTCTGGGCAAAAGGACCTAAGAAGCCAAAAGATGCTGCAGTAAAGAATTGAGATTTTGTTATTTTTGTTGGTTTTACCCCCTCCCACAGTTCAAATAAAGAATTGTTTTATGATCCAACTCAAATTCAATATGAACATATGTTGTGTTCTGAAGAGTTCAGAGGTAAATTCACATTGTATTTTTGAAGCAACTTGAGTGTTTCATTGTCTGCTCTTCTAAATACCAAGACTTAGAATTCAGGTCTTATGTTGAATTTGGCTCTTGCACACACTTTCACTTTTTTCTCTCCAACACATGAACAGAAAGAGTAATTCCTGATTGCAATATGAATCTCTTAGAAGGATGCATGACAGTGCAAACATTAATTTTGCTACTAAAGAACATGAGGCCAGCATACAGTAAAAATACAATTAATAAAAACAATCCCTTTGACTTACAAGTAAATGTCTCTAAATTGTTTAATCTTTATATATTGAACTTATTTAGTGGAGTTCTCAAACTATTACCAAGCAGTGGGAAAAGGAGATGTCATGAAAAGTGCCTGTGGTCTATTAGAATATATTTTTAAATTCTCTTTTCCTCCCACCTTTTTTTGACACTGTTGAAGTGCATCTAGCAGGAGTCCCCTGAATGAGCTAGTCTCCAATCAAGGCCAGCAACTTACTGCTGTGGTCCGAAGTGTGAGCTCTTTCTGAAGTCAAAATCTGGGATTTCTTTACATGGGAAGGATCCCCACTGTAGAGAGGGAGAACAAGACTTGAAGATCACTAGTAATTCCAAGATATCTACCAAACTAGTACCTGTCTGTAACTCTTGCTGCACATTTAGCATGAATCATTAAGAGCCAAATATTTATCTCACCTGTAAAGCAGATCAGTTTTATGAAGGCCATACAACAATGGGAGATGAAGCCTTCTCTTTCTGCTGTCAGTTTCATTTCGTCTTTTACCAGCTATCATCCAATGACTGTTATGAAATAAACTGGTGGCTCCATCCCAGGTGCTACTAAAATCTGTCTTCATCTTAGAAAAACAACTTTGTGCCTTGTACTTTAGGCA